ACACTGCTAGCATCTAGCCAATATACATGCAAATTCATCCCGTTAAATTTAGCCAATTGGGTCAAAGAGCCCACTAAAATTGAAAGGGATTCTTCAAGTAAATATGAATGGGTATCTGAGCTCTTAATTCTATCTTGTGCAAATGGCTGTGTATAGCCTGTGGCAATCTATGTAGGCAGGAGGAAGCACATCTAAATAGAAAGCTATTCAAAACATAGAGAGGGAGAAGCAGGAAGGACAAATCCAAATTCGGCTATATTTCAGAATAAAAAACAAAGCCTGCCATGCACAGGAAGGGGGAAACATGAACACCATGAAGCTACTGGCAGAACAAGAGTAAGAAAACGTTTGGCAATATAAATTTCAATCAGTCTATGCATTAGTCAAGACTTCAGGATAGTTCTGTTTAGTTTGATGTCTATGGTAGGAGAAATAAAAGACCTTCATGGTTTAAATGTACCTCTGCCCAAACTTCTATGGAAGATTTTCCCTCAGCAAATGTCCGACTTAGGTGCATCACCCCAAGATTTACTGCTGAATTACCTAGCCCTGGGCACAGAATACAACGCTAGCACAACAGAATTAGGCTGTCACACGATCCTAGCCCTGCAATCCCCCAACAGCAACAACTGCCAAAAAGTACATGATTCCAAAACCAGAAGAAATCCCAACCTTTATAAGTCGCAGCGTCAAAAGAAACAGAGCTCACCATCACTAGTGTAACCATCACTCCTTCCTACTGCTTTCTCAGTCATGTTTACTATTACTAACAAGAGAACAAAAGGACTTTTAAAAATCAAAATCAACGAAGGGCAGGGATGGGGACAAGGATTCAGCCAAAAATGGGGATTTTAGAGGCCTAATGTGGACAGTCTACTTTTTAAAAGGCTTTTGAAAGGAAAGATTCCCAGCAACACAGATACTTATTTACACTCAACAGTGGTTCCCTGTGACTGCACCAAAACTCTAAGAGCCTAGAATTCTGAATGCTCTCAGATCCCCTGCTCTACCTGGGACAACTACTCTTTAGCCCATCTCGAACATGACAGATTGGTAAAGGCATCAATCCTTACATATTCTATCTGCCTCTGTCAGATAGGTTCTGTTTCTTGGGAAGATAACAAGCTAATATTTAGGCCAAATCCCAGTGGTTTTTCCTTTTTTATTTAATACCATTTCAAAAATTTAAAAGAACAGTCACATCTTTGCCTCCAAATACAGGCATGTTTGAAAGCATGAACAACTCTAGGATTTACCATAATCTTTCATCCTCTTTCCCTCCTCCCTACTTCTTGGCCAGTAAAACTCACCTACTCTAATATAGATCTTTTATTTTCTTTCTTCTTTTTTTTTTTTTTTTGTGAGGAAGATCAGCCCTGAGCTAACATCCGTGCCCACCTTCCTCCACTTTATGTGGGACACCGCCACAGCATAGCCTGACAAGTGGTGCGTCGGTGTGCACCCAGGATCCGAACCCAGGCCGCCAGCAGCAGAGCGTGCGCACTTAACCACTACACCACGGGGCCGGCCCCCCCCCAATATAGGCCTTGATACAACAACATAGGCCCAAATAGGTGGCTGCCAACTAAGAACCCTAAAAGGTTCTTAGCAGGGGACATACTCAGACCCACAAAATCTAGGACCTCCACCCTAAAAACTGCTATCACTTTTTGATAAACACAAGGAGATCCTCCAAGTAGCGATCAAGACTGGCAGCAATAAGCTTTATCTTCACATACTTCTCCAGAGCACCTCTGTGCAACAACTCTGTTGCTGGCGTGTTACAATTTTTGGAGTTGGACATGATTAAAGAAACATTTGACTTTTTAGCATAAAGCAGAATCAAGCTCCCTCTCTACCTCACAAGAATAGAAAATTTCATGTATATATCTGTACATCTGCTTCTTCAAGTGGAGAAATTATTCTCCCTAATCAGCAATACATATTAAAAGCAAACTTTCGTGTAGAGGAACACAGATAACTACAGCACCTAAGCCCTGCTGCTTGACTGACTTAATTTGCTTAAAACCATTTACAGAGAGGAGAGATGGGTTAGATTTTACTTCTCCTTTGCCTTGTCACGAACAACTAAAGCAGTGAAAATTCAAACAGATGATTTGGAGGGTACCTTCCAGGGGTTGTACTGCCACTTTAATTAAGTCAAAGGCTTATGTATGCAGAATAAAGTTGCTCTAAAATGAAACCAAGAAAAAGTGTAATTCAGAAAGAACACGGGTTTCTTTTTAGGCTTTTTACATAAAGAAAGAGAAAGATCAAAAAAATTCCAACAACGGGAACTGTGTACTCCACCAACTTTAAGACAAATACCATGTCTTCTTTGGTTCCACAGTTTGAACCTTTTGAAACCAAAGGAGGGCAAGTGAGCAAGATAGTTGGTAACCTAGAAGGAACTGTGTTCTCTGGATACTGTGATACAGCAGGCATTACTGCCCACTTCTCCAGACGCATCAAAAAATAATTACTCTTGATTGCATTGGTGCTTCTCTGGGCAATTTTCCTTGCCCACAAATCTGTTATAATAGTACCGGGATAACATAATTTAAGCATTTTCCATTTGCTAATATATAAAGAGGTAGGCCAGGCAGACTAGAGAGCAGAAAGGAACCAAGCATCTAAAGGAAAGGAGATGATTTTCCTTCTAAATTTTCACATACAACTCATTTCTAATCGTGGGTGCTCTAATCCAATTAACTCTAATGCTTTTTTCCACCTGGAGCTAAAGTGGTTACTTAGGGAAGAATTTAATCGAGCTCTTCCTGCCTGGCAAAAGTTTTTTTCAACAGTGGGTGGCTGTATTCATTCAATAAGGGTATTTACAGCATCCCAAGGGCTTCTTTCCCTTTAAAAAAACTAAGAGAGACCACCCCATCAGACTTCTCTCCTTGGAAGTTTTGGGAGCAAGTTCCTGCAGAACAGTAACTCTGAAACTAGGGTCACAGACCCTGTAAGAATCTGATTAAACCTTATCCACAGAAAAATGCACAAGCAACAAAAATTCTACAAGCTAGTCTATAGACCCATGTTAAGAACTTCTCGCCTACATACAGATAGATAATGGAAAAGATCAAGGTCACTGGGCAGTGACATCCTTGAGGTCTAAAACAGGACCTTTCCCTCCCCCTTCCTTAACCAGCAAGCAGGAAAACAGTGGGAGTACTAGTGCAGGCTCATTCCTGAGAATGTGGGGCTCCACTCCATGGGCAACTCCGGCTTGGGGACTTCTTTTTGGCCGGGGGAAGCTGTCTTAGAACCACATTGCAGCCCAAGACTCTACCTGTTGAATCTTTCTTTCCTCTCTCCTTTCAAAGCTATCAGACCTGCCCTGTGGTCTGAAGACTCTACTGGCCCTCAGAGTATTTCTGCTGTCTTTTCTCTCCCTTGATACTTCCCAGGCATTTTCCCCAATAAAATTCTTATACTTCTAATCCCATCTTGGGGTCTGCTTCTAGGGGTCAAACTATACACCTGTAGCTGCTGCCATTTCCACAGCACCTTTACACAGGGTCCTGAGGAGGGGACCCTGGAGTCTTCCAGTCCTCACTCCAGTACCACACTCCAACACAGAAACTATACCTCTTAGGACAATGACTTCTTAGACTTACCCAGTGGGATGAAGCCCCTGGAAGCCAAAAAGTCAATGATGTTCTGGTTTCACAGACATCATGGGTAGTTTTGAGATTTCTGCCTTCAGGTCTGAGACAAGACCCACTAAGAGTAAGAGCCAACAGTATGGGAGAACTTGACATGGAATGCCAAATCAATAAGGTAAGATGTATAAAAGGCCTTACCTTTGTCAGGCCTGAAAAGGACCCTGACTCATGCTAGAAATATCTTTCACGTTTATAGAACAATAAACATGAAGCTGTAAGTTCATAACCAAAGTTCTAAAAAGTGATGACACTATTCAACAGGGAGAAGATAGAGTTAGGTCAAGTAAAAACAGCCAAAGAAAAAACCTATTTCAAAGTATGAGTGACCTTTTGTATTCACTAGAGAGATTCCAACAACCGTTAGTATGAGACTCAAAGTCAGTTCTTAAGTGTGCCAGTAGGAGCTATTACATGTGCAAATGTTCTATTAGTTGAGAGCCACAACGCCCCAAACCTAGCATCAGCTGAGGCTTTCAGTGGAAGGAGCAGGTGAGATTCTGAGGTAAATACAAGAGATCATGTCAGAATCCAGTCATGCTGCATCACTTCTCCTAAATCATTTCTGTTCCACTGTTAACACTTAGGGCATGCAGTATTAAATGACTGTATCAACCTACCCTTTTCTTCTAGTAAGACATTCAAAGATCAAATCAGCATTATTTTTTAATCAGAATCGTGATAAGATATTGTTACAAAAGAGGAAAAAGGACAAATCTTTTTAGAGTTCCCCTGAAATTCTCAAAGAGCAAAATAACCAAAGGCTTTGTTTTGCAAGTTTTATTTTTTTTGCCCTTTATTCTTGGTCTATGATGTTAAGCTCTTAATGACAAAGAAGCCAAGCCCACTTAGCAAGTTTACCAACACATCTAAAGCAAATTGTAGTCATACTTTTATTTTAACCAAGCATGACAACAAGGTGATTGAGCAGCTTTCCAAACTACCAGAGCAGCAGGCACTACCTTGCATAGGCTGGCGTTAGATCAGCACTTCATAAATCGTGCAGGCTCCTGCCCATTTAGATGATCTCTCTATGCAGAATCGGCAGTCTAACACTGGCTCTCCCAAGCATTAAAAATCATCACTCTGCTAACCCAACTCACTGTTCAGACGGGTCTTCTTGAATGCAGCCTTTATTACAACCTCACTGCTGCTTCCTACACTGAAGGAATACCATGTTTTTAAGTCAGGAGTCCTTCTTTCTCGCTTTATTGTAATCAGGGGGTCTTACAACGACCCCGATACTGTTAGAAAGCACGGTGCTTTATAACATTAAAGCTTCTGGAAAACCCAAACAAAAGACACGTCATCCGGTGACGTCAGCCTATATACAGTTCTGTGTGGTCGCAGCACATAAGCAAATCCATTCTTGTGCCGTTTCTCGGAAAAGCTTTTCAGTAAATGCACTCATGCTGCTCCAGGAGCTCTTCTCTGCAACAAGCCGCCCATCTGCCATCAACAAGTTAAGACGGAGAGAACTAACGGCTGCAGAAAGGAGAGGGTGAAGCTTTGATTAACCAGCTGAGCAGTCAGAGGAGGATGAAATTAATAACTTATATTCAAAACTGATTTGGGGGATCAGAGTGGTCAGAGAAAATGAAATCAATGCTTTCGAGAGGAATCTCCTAAGGAAAAAAACCACTCACCCTGGTGGATTCAATTTTACTCAGAAAGCCTAGGACACAGAAAACTGGTCAAAGGCTCCTGCATGTTAGAGCCTTTTACAGACTCACTGCGTTGAGTCTAACCACGACTGAATGCAGCCTCCAATGTGCTCAGAAGAATGGGTAAGTCCGTGCATTTATGTGTCTTGTACAGTCAGCAAGGAAATCATGCTTTTAAAATAAGCCACTGAATTCCCATTTTATGAAGGAAATCATTGTTACATTTTTGGATTTTGAGGTTTAGGTAAAAGCATATATTGCTGATGACAGGACATGTTTTATCTTCTTTCTTAATGGTTGTTTTGTTGTAGTCATACTAACAGGGTTAGTTTTTCTGCAGTAAATGAAAAATAAGTTAGATGCAGTGAAATCCTTTGCCATAACATTATGTTGGTTTTTTTTTTAATAGCCCATACGTTCTGCTGAAAAATATCCTATCTTCTTGTTTTCCTTAAATTATATTCTGCAGGCTTACATTTCAAGTGGCCATTAGGGGCCCCTATGCTGGCAGCAATATATGCAATGAGTATGGTTTTAAAAATGCTGCCTGCCCTGGGTATGGCGTGTCCACCCAAATGCCGCTGTGAGAAGCTGCTCTTCTACTGCGACTCTCAGGGCTTCCACTCAGTGCCAAACGCCACAGACAAGGGCTCTCTGGGCCTGTCCCTGAGGCACAATCACATCACAGAGCTCGAAAGGGATCAATTTGCCAGCTTCAGTCAACTTACCTGGCTCCACTTAGACCACAATCAAATTTCAACAGTAAAAGAAGACGCTTTTCAAGGACTATATAAACTTAAAGAATTAATCTTAAGTTCCAACAAAATATTTTACTTGCCAAACACAACCTTTACCCAACTGATTAACCTGCAAAATTTGGACCTGTCTTTTAATCAGCTGTCATCTCTGCACCCAGAACTCTTCTATGGCCTTCGGAAGCTGCAGACCTTGCATTTACGGTCCAACTCCCTGCGGACTATCCCGGTACGCCTGTTCTGGGACTGTCGTAGTCTGGAGTTTCTGGATTTGAGCACAAACCGTTTGCGAAGTTTGGCTCGCAATGGATTTGCGGGATTAATCAAACTGAGAGAGCTTCACCTAGAGCACAACCAGCTGACGAAGATTAATTTTGCTCATTTCCTACGGCTAAGCAGTCTGCACTCGCTCTTCTTACAATGGAACAAAATCAGCAACTTGACATGTGGGATGGAGTGGACTTGGGGCACTTTAGAAAAGCTAGACCTGACTGGAAATGAAATCAAAGCCATCGACCTGACAGTGTTTGAAACGATGCCTAATCTTAAAATACTCCTCATGGATAACAACAAGTTAAACAGCCTTGATTCCAAGATCTTAAACTCCCTGAGATCCCTCACAACCGTTGGCCTCTCTGGCAATCTGTGGGAATGCAGCCCTCAAATATGTGCTTTGGCCTCCTGGCTGGGCAGTTTCCAAGGTCGGTGGGAGCATTCCATCCTATGCCACAGCCCTGACCACACCCAAGGAGAGGATATACTAGATGCAGTCCATGGATTTCAGCTCTGCTGGAATTTATCAACCACTGTCACTGCCATGACCACAACTTATAAAGATCCAACCACTGAATACACAAAAAGAATAAGCTCATCAAGTTACCATGTGGGAGACAAAGAAATCCCAACAACTGCAGGCATGGCAGTTACTACTGAGGAACACTTTCCCGAACCAGACAATGCCATCTTCACTCAGCGGGTAATTACAGGAACAATGGCTTTATTGTTTTCTTTCTTTTTTATTATTTTTCTAGTGTTCATCTCCAGGAAGTGCTGCCCTCCCACTTTGAGAAGAATTAGGCAGTGCTCAATGATTCAGAACCACAGGCAGCTCCGATCCCAAACACGACTCCACATGTCAAACATGTCAGACCAAGGACCATATAATGAATATGAACCCACCCATGAAGGACCCTTCATCATCATTAATGGTTATGGACAGTGCAAGTGTCAGCAGCTGCCATACAAAGAATGTGAAGTATAATATCTACTCATCATCAAAAATTACATCAGATAAGTAATCTATTTTACATAGTAGGGGCTAAATACATAGCTAATTTTTACCAATGGTGACATTAAGCCTAATTTTCCAAACCAAGTGGAGACTTAAGTTTTTGAAGTGTTGAAGTATTTTTAATTTTTTTTAATGAAACCATATTTTAAGTGTTAAATGAAGCAATGCTCACATTAATTTGCACTCTTGTTGGAAAGTCTAAAAATGCTTACTTCAAAATAAGACATTTCATGTATGTAATTATATACTAACCGTGTGTAAACATTTACACTAAGGTCTCCATATGCTATTTTTTTCTACTGAAAACAGTTTGAAAAGAAGCTACTGAGCAGGAAAAGATATGGATCAATACTTATTTGATCATTGCTCTCCATCCCAAGTACCACAACTGGCTTGCTGCTTAAAAGGAGACTTAACAAAGTTCTCTTGTATGATAATTTGGTATTTACTCAAATCTACAATTTACTGCCAGTGTGGGAAGTAGAATTTCATGTATGCTGAAGACTGGTAAATATTAAACACTCTTCTCCCACAGTTTTTGCCTGGGTTAGTAGATATTATCAAAATCCACATCATGAAATCTGAACCCTTTATGTAATTCTAATAAGCTGAGTGACTCTAATATATTCAAACAATGAATCCAAGTGATTGTGAAAAGGTCTCACCATAATGAAATCAATACTAAATAATTACACTGACTTCTTATCATCCATCTCTAGTTTGACTCATAATAGACACGCTGATTTTTGTGGCATTTAGACAATTACTTTAAACTAGTATTAAATTACCATTTCACTAATTAGTGTACTAAATCCTACATTTACATTTATACGTGAAAAAAGATTTAGAAATTATTTTGGAGAGAAAAGAGATAAACTAAGTCAACTTAACAATCCTATGACCTGCTCCCTCTAGTTTGAAAGCACACACAAACACGCACACATACCCACACACACACACACACACTCTCTCTCCTCCCCCCCCACTCTTTCTCTCTCTACTGTCATGATCAAAGATGCTTTGACAAAGGGGTTTAAACCTCTTTCTTCTGCCTTTTCCTGATCTTCAAAGCTCAAAAAGCCAAATTAAAAATAATGGCTAGCAACAGGCATAACAGATTCTTGTTAGGTATACTAAACCATGAAAAAAATCACTTAGTAAATATTATATGCTAAATTTTGACCTTTTAATAAAGATGCATAGTCACACTATAAGAGCAGTTCCTTCTAAGTAAAGGGAACAACATATTACCGAGGCAGACCTTCTCGTGGTAGAACACTCTACATGCCTGTGCAGCCACACAGTAATAACTCGAAGGTGGCGCGAAGGTGAGGGGATGAAAGGAAAAGGCAGCATTTTGAAATCTGACTGGCAGAAACAGGTTAGCTGAAGCTAAAAGGCAGCCAAGAGTGAGGCAAACGGGTAACTGTACATAATCGGCATCAAACAGGGCAAGGCCCTGGGGCTTGTAGCTGAAAAGGAGAGTGGGGGAGGTTCTCTAGTATTAAAATAACTATCCCATAATTAACAAATGATAATGATGCTACATTTTTCACACAGAAAAGAGCCACAAGTATTTTGTTTCTTCAACTATGATTTCTACAGAGAAACTGTGACACATTTGGGATTTAGATGCAAGTTACCAATTCATACAGAATTTTTCCATTAACAAGCTTCCATGTATGTAATAGCAAAAACCATGAAACTAGATTACTGACTTGATTTTAGAAGACAGAGCATTTTTACAACTGACATTTACTGTATGTGAAAAAAGGCATAAATCCTTAGAGAAAACCACTACCATAAAAAAGTTACTTTTTCCTTAACATGACCATTAACATGATATCCTTCATTCAAGGCATATTTTCTTCCCAGAAATGAATTGAAAACATGTTAAGACTACAGTTTAACCCATGAGATTTAATTGTAATTTTTTCTTCTTTAATACTAAGAAAGGGGTGTCTGCCTACATTTGAAAGAAAATGTGTCTCAGTAAAAAGCAGACAGGATCAAAAATTATGGTAAAAATGTGCTCTTTACATTTTTTAAGGGGGGTGGATTAGTTTGGCACAGTCTCAGCCTGGCCAAGTTGAGCTGATCTTGAGCGGTGAGCATTTGATCTGTTGTTAAACCAAACCCAGGGCCTGCCTGGGCAAGAACAGAAACTGATTTTACAGCATAGAGTGCAGCTCACTGCATCCCTACAGAAGGGATGGATCAGAAGCCCCCATTACAAATGAGAGCTCCACAAGCTAAAATTTACCAACCCATTTATCAGGGTAACCACGGCTATTTTTCAGGGTACAGTTTTGTCACAATACTACTGTGTCCTGCATACACAAGATTCCACTAGCCCTGAAGGATAGCAGAGGGGTATTTTCCATCATTTCAACCACAACCAAAATTAATTGAAACTGTGAGTTGAAGGTTGACAAATACTGGCTGGGAATCCCCACATTAATCCTAAAGATTACAGTTAGTAAAATGGACCATCAATTGGTAAAATCCTTAACATATATAGAAAAGTAAATTGGAAAAGCAAGTCATTTAGTAATTTGGGGTAAAAGCATAGCCAAGACCACCAAGGCATACTCTCCAGTTGAAAAATAACTGATTTTTCTGCCCTCCATTTTTCTGTTAATGCTTTCTGAGAAAAGTGAGTAACAGTGCCAAATAGCATTTTCCTTTCTCATGTAAAGTGCAAGCTTCCCTTTACAGTTGCCTATAGAAGGCAGGATTCTATTGAATTTTGGTCTATTTGTGTTTCGGTATCAGCACAGTGTGAAGATGAGGCTGTTAGCCATATGTGCTCTCTTTACCAACTGGCTAGGGTGGAAGAGTATCACAGCTACACTGCAGATCCTGGTAACACAACGGTAGGGCTTTTGTTTTTCAGAGTAGTTTTAGCCTCTTCAACACCCCCCCCACCACCCTTTTTTTTTTTCCCATTTTCAAGATTAGAGGAAAATGGCCATTTAATCAAGAACCAGAAAAATAATTAAATCTCTCTGGAAAAAGGAAAGCTAAAGAAGGCTATGATACTATAGCCACCTAGAAACCAAGAGCTAGTTTCGAACTATTTATATTCATTTCTGTAGCCTGCCAGGGATTTTAATCACCTTTCTGAAACGCAAGTGGGCTGATAAATTTGCAAATCTACACACAACTGAGAGAATACCCACTGCCAACATCAAATAGCAAAGATACTAATTTTTTAAGCCAAAAATCTGCACTAACACATGTAATTTCTTAATGCGCCTAAGTTAATTTCTGTACCAACTCAATGAATGAAATTTATTGAACTTCCCAACTCCACTAATTATTAAAATCCATCTGCTTATTCTAATGCTAGTCACCAAGAGCTAGACTCTATCTTTCCAATAAAAATGAGTCCTATATAGCACTAGGTTTGAATCCTAAAATTCAAAACAGGCATGTCGTTTTCTTAAGGCATACTACCCACACACAGCCGTCAGGAAGAAAAAGCTTCAAATGCCCTGTTCTTTCTCTAAAGTGTGGGTATCAATATGAAATTTTTAAAGAATATTTTTAGAAGCTAATTTACATGATCATTTTCCTAACAGAGCAATATAGTGACAGACCTGTCTTAAAAGTCTGTTTTGGGACACGCTTTTCAGTGCTTCAACTAGAAAAAGACAAGGATAAAGGCGATAAGGCTATGTATAGATATTTAAATATTTCTGTTCCTAACCTAGGGCAAACTCATAGTACTTGAATAATTTAAGGCCAAAACAAATAGAAAATGACTATTTAAGCTTTCATACTGCTAATGCAAACATCTGGAAATGTCTGCTACTCCTTCAACTAACCTATTCTTCCTTGGTAATTTTTTAAGAAGTCTGATCTATGGAATGTTTGGTGAATCTTCCTATCAACACTGAGACTGGAAACTAAAAGTACAGTCCCAACACATTGTGTCAATCACCTTAAGAGCCATTTTTTGGGGGGTGGGAGGTGGGCAAGCGGGTTGGGGGTGGTGGGAAGAAAATACTATTATACTGGGGGTCTGGGGGGGGTGGTAACAAAGTGCAGTGTACGGGAAAGTTTTGTTATTAAAATTGTGTATACTGTAAAAAGTGAATGTCTTTTTTTTTTTTTTTTTTTTGGCTTTTCCTTGGTAACCTATCAATTTTGACATGTGAAACTAGAAAAACCATTTGTGACTGATATAGAAATCTTAAAGAGGGCCGGCCCCGTGGCTTAGCGGTTAAGTGCGTGCGCTCTGCTGCTGGCGGCCTGGGTTCGGATCCCGGGCGCGCACTGACGCACCGCTTCTCCGGCCATGCTGAGGCCGTGTCCCACATACAGCAACTAGGAGGATGTGCAACCATGACATACAACTATCTACTGGGGCTTTGGGGGAAAAAATAAATAAATAAATAAACAAACAAACAAATAAAAAATAAAAAATAAATAAAAAAAAGAAATCTTAAAGGAACAGTTGTTTTGTACCATGTTCTCTACAATGCCAAACGTGCCAGTTAAAAAAAAAGGGGCAGCTAACCATCACCTGTCTTCATTAAGAGACAGACAAAACTAGGCTAAAAAGAAAGTAGAGGTAAAGTGGAGGGCTGGCTAAAAAGCTACCATGCCAATAAACAGCAATCATGCAATAGGAAGCTGCTCTGTCATAAGCCTTAGCAAGTGGACAAAGTTGCTGAGTCCATGGGGCTCACACGGCCTAGGGTTGGCCGCTGTCTCTCACCCTCCCCAACAGTGGACAGCTGCCACAGCCCGGGGAGCTTTAGAAAAGCACTCACTTTCCTATACCCAGCAAACAGCAACTTGGCCTCTACTTCAGAGGTCTGTTGGAGTAGATCCCCACTCCTGGGAGGGAGGTCCACAGGTGCTGACCATGCTGAAATCTCTAGGATCCCTACATGACCTACTCTACTCCAGATACCAGCTCAGGAAGTATGGATAGGGGGAAAGGAAGGGAAGATTTTTAACTAGTGTTCCTTGCTTGGCATAAACATCCTCAGGACAGAATGCTAAGCCTGTGCAGCACTGGGGGCAGAATCTGCCCTGGCCTCAAGGAGTTGACTACCAGGAGTCTGCCACATTTGCCAGGATGCACTTACTGCTTGCCTGGAGCAGTGTAGCAGGACCAGAAAGGTGGGAAGAAACAAGGCTACCTCTTTCCCCAACACCCAAGGATGAGGGAATCAGAGAGGCTAAGAGAGCTCTCACACCAGGAATCTCAGCAGTAACTAGGGCAGAGGCAGGAAAACACAAAAAACCCACAACATTTTACTGTTAAACTCACCCAGTATGCAATAGAGGGCACAGGTGATGGTTGGTTTCAAACTGCACAAAGGAACAAATTCCTATACTTTATGGAGTTAAAAGCAGAGCTTATTAACATAATTCTCGTACATTTTAATCTTGAAAATCCCATGTAAAGCTACATCTGATTTCTTTATCAGTTATTTTAATTAGTTTTGCCTGTATGCCACAGCATTCTCAGGTTCCCACTCAAATTTATAATAGATTTCTTCATGGTCTCTTTAAAGAGATTTTTTTCTTTCTTTAAATATATCTAACCAGCTGGGTACTCAAGTCTCCCTTAGAGAGACAAAATGTACTACAAATTGTCTTTTACAAAGAGAAAAAGGAAAAAGAGGTGAAAATCATAGCTATTCCAAACATCTCTCCTTAGCATGAGTTCCTCCTCATTAGCCAATGTTTTGGCAACACTCTTAAGGGACAGGTGTTGAGCATCCCCTACTCCTATCTGAAGGGGACGTTAAAGAGCAAGAAATCTCCAAAGGGAAGTACAACGAGGCATCCTACCCTGCAAAGCCCACAAACTGAATATACCATCCCTTTATACACGAAGGCTTAAGAGCAAAGCCCAACCCATGGCCCCCAACTCAGGACCTCCCGCAAGAAACCCAACATGAAGGAGCGTCTGTGAACAACTCGGAAGGCAGGAGCCAATAGCTCCACCATCACCCAAAGAGAAAAGGCTCTTCTCTCACTTGGGAACCAGAATTTTGAAACTGCAGCCCCAGAGACAATTCCCAAAGCCTTTTTAGAACTTTCATCAAGAGACTTTACCAAGAACCACAGTGAAGGGCCGGCCCTGTGGCTTGGTGGTTAAGTGCGCGCGCTGCGATGCTGGTGGCCCGGGTTCGGATCCCGGGTGCGCATCGAGGCACCGCTTCTCCGTTCATCCTGAGGCCGAGTCCC